ATTCTAATCCTTAGAACCTTGCCACCTAAAGTGTGGTCTCATAACCAGCAGCATCAGCATCACTTGGGAGCTTATTAGAAGAGTGGAAGTTCAGGACCCAGACCTACTAAATCAAATTCTGCATTTTGACAAGATCCCTAAGTGATTCTTAAGCACTTTAAAGAGTGAGACATCCTGCCTTAAGGCACCATCAATCCATGAATAGATTGTGATATGTCTCACGGGTTTCTATCACACTCTCAAACTTTCTAGCTCTAGGACTGCTTTCAATGGCCAGAGTAGCTTTAGATTTAGTGATTATCTGGTTTGGGGCTTAAGGAAAAACCATATGGTCCTTAAAATAAACAGTACATTTACACGCATCCATTTACTAATTAACTTGTTAATTAATTCACCTACTCAACTCTAGAAATACCTATTGGGTCCCAAACACAGCTTGAGGGTTGTAGATATAAGGATGAATTGAGCACCGCCCCTGGCCTAGAGCATTTAGGGATGTGCCTGAACAGCCAACCCCACCCAGCATGATAAGCACTTCTGTAGTTCGTAAAGAAGATGCATTCCCTTTAAATGTTTATACTCAGAAACTATGTCATGGCAAGCAGGAATAATTCTGGAGGCAGCTCCACGTTGTCCGCCTCCACCCTTGGATTCTATCTTTCCTATGGCCTTACATCTCTGGATTGTCTGCTCACACAGGGGGATGAATTATTGGGACAGTCCCTGTCTGGTGACTCACAGGATACTGACAGTAATGGCTTGCTATAATTCTTCTCCATTCCATAATAATCAGGAAATGTGGTGTGATCCTTCCCTTAGTTCAGGAGTCCTTAACTTGAGGCCCATAGAAGAGGTTACTTCCAGGCATGGAGGAGAAGATGTGGCCCATGTTCAAACTGTTCTGTGTATGTGCTTAATACATTTGTCTCAGGAGAGAAAGTCCACACGTTTTGTTTGTTTGTTTGTTTTGAGACAGAGTCTCACTCCGTCACCCAGGCTGTAGTGCAGTTGCACAGTCTTGGCTCACTGCAACCTCCGCCTCCCAGGTTCAAGCAATTCTGCCTCAGCCTCCCAAGTAGCTGGGATTACAGGCACATGCCACCACACCCAGCTAATTTTTGTATTTTAGGGTTTCATCATGTTGGCCAAGCTGGTCTTGGACTCCTGACCTCCCGATCCACCCACCTCAGCCTCCTAAAGTGCTGGGATTACAGGCATGAGCCACCATGCCGGGCAGAAAGTCCACAAGTTTTTATTAAAGGATGATGAAACCTAAAATGAGAAGCAGTGTCTTGCTACTGTCCTCTTGCTGCCTGAGACCCTTGTAGTGGCAGCTCCTTCCTTCTTTTTCTCCTCTACCTCCAGCTCCCTCTGTGTTTAGCTTGATTAGTTAAAAGGAGCTGTCTGTAGTATCACAGTCACTTCTGTCCCCACCTCAACACCATCACAGGTAAGCACAGCTGGACCACAGGAACAATGGGGAAAAGAAGTCTCTAGAACTCAAAGCCAAGTCTTTAGGAATTGGCTGGCTAGTCTTCTGTCTTTAAGAGCTACAGCCGAGAAGATGAAGTTTAAAAATCACTTTTTGGACTTTCAGGATGGTTTAGGGCAGTAATCCCTGCACGAAAACTCTCTTTCCTTTGTCCTGTAAGATGCCTAGAGGGTCAAGTTGGGGGTTGGGGGAGAGAGGGGACTCTACTGGTGGGTAAAAGTCATCAATGATATCAGAGGCAACTGTCAGGTATCTTTATACTTAAAGAATGTTTAGACTTCAGAAACCATGGAAAGTACATATGCTAACTCTGATGTATCATTCTTAGTTCAAATCCAGGCTCATGCAGTAAAGAGAAGGAGGTATGTTTTGGATATTTTCTAAGGCAGAGTTCCAAATCATTTCTATATGGCTGTAAGTTCATAATGAAGTTATCTGGCAACATATATTTGCCTTTCTACTTCTGCTCTGTGATAATTTGGGATTATAAAATAAATTTATAAAATGCCCTTTGAATATGCTGTGTAACTGTTGTTGCTGTTTTCCTAGCCATCCAGTTTTTGTCTTGCCAACTGAAAGAGTTGTCTTCCTTGGATGCAGAGCCCCTGGTAAAGGGAGGGAGAGCAGCGCAGCCCAGAAACATCCTGGAAAAGTAGAATGGGAATAAATATTTGCAGTGGAAAATTCAGAGTTGATTTTTGTAGATCACCAAGAGTAGACTCTGCAGCCACTAGTCATTACAGAAGCGTTTTTGGAACAGCAGTTTTTTTTCAGTGGGAACACACAGTGCACAGGCCTGACCCCAAAGGAGAAATAAACATACCCCTGAGATCTGCTTCCGGGGCAGGAGATGAGCCTGGGGTTGATATTGTAAAATGACTAATTTGCAATGCAGAAAATCTACCAAGAGGGGTGGATTTATAGTCTCACTT